AGGTTCGCAAAAGAATTCGAAGATAAAACCCAACATATTTCAGGTGAGTTACAGCTGACCTATCCTAACTATTCCAGCAAAATGTCCGCTAGTTGCCAGCCTCGAGCTGTCTTCCAATGTCTTCAAACAGATGAAGACAAACACCATGTCGCCCTCATCACCATACAGCTAGGTGGGCGGGATAAACTGTAGCAGGTCCACGTGTCAAACCGATCATAAGGAAATTGTGCTAGAGCCTAGAGCCCACCATATGCTGACCCTGATTCACGCAGGGTATATATGTAGAGATTCACGCCTCTTCCTTGCTGGGCACCGCCATACCCAGATCATTAGACCAGGCTGGACTACCTGAATAAGGCAGAAGTTATTTGAACAGAAAGCCGTCTGAGGAGTATAATCGCCACTTCACAAAATTTCAACGATATAACTTTCTTTCGGTGTGTCTCACCCTGTTATGTTAAAGGGACACTCCCACCTTAACATTAGTTTTGAGTTGAGATAGCCAAATTGGTGGCCATGGCCTGCAAATAGGGGAAGTTGGGGCAATGCCGGAGTTGGGGCAAAGCCGAAATTCGAGACATTTCGAAAACCGTAAGACATGGATGCCACCTGTCAGTGATGCTCTGAGGCTTAAGTGACTACAATTATCGCATGTTTGTTACGAGTCGTCATTCGGAATACTTCGACTGTGAGGGCGCCAAGAGCGTTTTCAAGGTACGTTTCCCTTGTACTACATGCGCCTTTGAAGCTGCATTTTTTACTCATTATGCTACCGTTTGTCTGGCCAATTCGGTCAAGTAATCTTTAGCATGTCTTTGCATAAGTGTGCTGCCTATTTGAAATTTATACAGCACGTTGAAAAGTTATGGGCCTGCAAATGAAAGTATGGCTGGCTGGGGTAATGCCGAAAACGTGCGACTACGCACGTGTTAAAAGCACGCTACGTGGACTTTACTGCTGTAGAATAGCAACGCGTATTTTTAGTCACACAAATTACACTTTCAACAGACACAACGGCCTGTTACCTATAAGGAATGATTTACCTGGCATTTTCTTATTATATCACACAATTATAGCTTCCAGTGTGCACCGCGTCCTCAAGCTCTTGAAACGTGTGTCAGCTTTGATGAATTCTGGATAAAGTTTGAGATAAAATGGCAAAACATCAATGTCGGCATTCCCCGTAGATCATTTCTCCCATTTTCGGCTTTCCCCGCAGTCCGGGGCAACGCCGAAAAAGTCACTTCTTTGATATTTTTAGTTTGTGCGCTTAACGGTATGCGAATTCATCAAATGCGCCTGGTATGTTTGAAAGGCAAAAGACTGGCCTCTCGAATGACGCCAACAAGAATAGCGTATGTTGTCTACCTTGCGTGCTACGGGCGTCAGAAAAAAAGTCTTCGGCGTTCCCCCAACTTCCCCTACCGGTTTGGGCACTCACAATATCGGCAAATGCTTTAATTCGGAGATATGGAATTTCAAACTTGCAGTTTTCGGATTCTAAGGGGCTAGTGCATTGGTATGCCCCCTTAGAATTTGTGACGTCAGCGGAGATCTAACGATTTTTAAATCTTTTACTAAAACGTTTGGTAGCACGCGGTGGTATATGCTGCTTTGCGCGCAACAAATGCCGCACTTTCAAATAAAGTCGCTAGGAACAGCGGAGATCCCAAAAAGTAAACAAAAGTAAAAGTCTAATATCTTGAAAACCGGTGAATATTTTTCGATGAAATTTGGTAGATATTCGTTTTCGCTCTTTCTGAACCGAGCGACATCACTTTCGTGCCAGTTCATTAACTTTTTTGAAGGTGGGAGGGTCCCTTTAATCTTTGAGTTGCTGGCCTTGAACCACGACTAGAATCATGTGGAAATACGACGCGACCCATGTCCTTTTGGCACGATAAAATCACACGGTGTGCTTCTTTTTTATTCTTACGTCTAAAAATTCCAAAAGTTAGATTCCGTTCGCATCATTGTGTAAATAATCAAGAAATATCCTGGCATGTATTACGCATAATACAACCGGTGAGAGTTGTATCGAGAGTACATAAACCTCCAGGCTCCACGAATCAAACTATTAAAACAGTTACATTATAGTTTGATATAATGTAACTGTTTTAATAGTTTGATTCGTGGAGCCTGGAGGTTCATGTACTCTCGATACAATACTTGTCCATTTATAACTACAACCGGTGAGAGCTCAGAGCACCGCACAACAAATGCGCAGTATGTGGTATGTGAGCTAAATAAGTGATGAGAATCATTTGGGCCGTCTTGGAAGGACATTAATCTGATCCTACTTGGAGTCCAGCGCGTCATCCAACGGCCAACTTCATGAGAAGTTCATCGATCCCCGCTGTAATTCAGCCCGACTTTAGACTATTCCGGCAAATGAGCATTAAATTGCGCACACCGGCGATAATTTGTAACACGGAACCATGGATGAAAGGAACTCTGCATTTTCATGTCAACACTTGTCAGGTCATTCAACGACTGAAAGGAAGCATAAGAAGAGATAGAAACTGAGCATTGTCTGCCTTCTGCTCTTTTAACCTTGGTTTGCAAACTCATTCATCTAATTTCGGAGTTGCAGTACACTGCCGACAATTTATTAATGAATCTGCTCTCTGTAAGGGTACACAAAACACAATACATGTAATACCAAACCCTCCTGAAACATGCAGACATGCATGAGACTAGGCTTACCAACGTTCATTTCATGAACTGAAACTGAAACCTTCCGCTCGCCGTCGCTTGTCCAGCTTTTGTGTCACGTCACAAATCGTTTCTATGAAGCATTGTAGCCCGCAGACTGCCAGGTCACTTCAGAGAAGGGCGTTTCAAAGGAGCTGGAATGAATCCGGCTCGAAAAGTGACCGACCGTCCACTTCTGGACTGCGAGGAACCGCGGTCATTGCATCAGTCGTGGCGTGTGCGTCTCGTAACAGGTGAATATCTTATGACGGGTGAAATGTGAATAGGTGACAGGGGAACCCAGACAAGGGCCGAGGGTGGTCACTGGCCTCTCAATTTGACCGCGCTGTCCGATGGCTAGAACATGACGAGTGACGCCGGTTTTTGAAGTTGGGGGTGCGACTGTTGAGTGTCCACATTCTGCCGTGTACTATGACTAAGGGATGTCACGGATGTGACACAAAATCACACGCCATCCTGTCACCTGCTCAGGTCCTGTGACAGCGCCGGTCTGTGCCGCCTTACCATGCAGACATTATCCTATCCGGGCATATTTCTTTGATGTTTGACTCATTTTTGACCGCATTATAGTTTAACGAAGCATAAGTACTTCATAATGTATCAGCCAAATATCGAACGAACAAAACCTTTTGCTCGAAAATCCACATATTCGACTATTCCAACTCGTCGCATAAGTCTCGTGGCTCGCTATCATAGGGGTGCAGGTATGCTGGGCGACTTTCTCAGTGACAGCTTTTAGTGGCCCAAATTAGAGCCTGGGAAGTCTTTACATGGGAACTGCTTTTAATCTCGCTGATACCTGTCCACTAAATGCGTTTCAGTATGGCTGGCAGAGGAAGTTCTGCGTCAGCGAGGTGGAGTTTGTATTGTGGATAGTAAAGCAATTGGATGATCATGATTTTATGCATTGGTGGTTATAGTGGTCCACTGTGGTTTTCATTTTGAGTATGTATGTTCAGCTTTTGTATTTATTGCTCATCAGTTTTTTCAATATAAATGTAAACGTATTTTTTACTGCTAAAAGACACAACACTTTGTGATAGAACACAAGCCCACCAGACCTGCTCACACGGTCGGACCGCCGTGAACTGTGCCGTGTTTGGCGGGACCATGCGAGACCATTGATCACCGATCACCGGCCGGGGAGGGGCGAGACGGGACAGGGCCGCTACAGAGACTCAGTGACTGCTGCGCACCTGCACCTGCAGCCCTCCATCGAACAGTATCGGAAAGCCGTGCCACCCACTGGCACTAATTCACACTTAGTGCCCGTCCACCGTCCCGGGACAATTTACACCACCCAGCGACCGTTCGCTGCGGTATTTCGCGCCGTCAACGCCGGCCAACACCCAATACCCATTCACAGAAACCTGACTTGTCATAATCTCAATTAAACTCCAAACATCGGACTGAACAAGCATTGTTCACCAAAAGGAAGTTTTTGAGTTGTTAACTCAGTCGCTTCTCACGTCTCTACTGATTTAAGGCAGCGGTAGTCAGCGATGGCCCCGGGGATACGGTCACGGATAGTCGACTGAGCTGTGGCGAATAACGATATTACAGGTTTATTCACCTTAGCAACTATATCTGCCAGCGAACATCTCGATTGATCCAAAGAGCTTCGATAAATTTAGCCGCAGTTTTCTTTGTAGGCCCTATCATAAAGGCATCGGCCTCGCACAAAACACGAGTTGACCAAACGACGCCTCTGCAATGCCTTTCACAGCAGTATTGGAAGCTGTTGCTGAGGGCTTCGCTGCAGGCTGCAACTACACACAAAAAGACAACTTAGACCATTTGTACTGCCGTCACAGAACATTTTCTGTGCGCATAAATGGTGAAACGCTTTGAGCGGACTAGCTATTTTACAACTCACAATGGCTCGTGCATATTAAAGCTTGCGAAGACCAGGCATGCAAATTATTTTTCTCTTTATCATTGCGCACAAATAACCTGACGTTAGTACTTTATCCTGTGATATGCAAGGAAGCTGCGCCTCAGCTCATCTTTATTTATTTGTACTTCTGCATTGTTGTACATCCAGAATGTATCAAAGCAGCGACCAAAGCGTCACCCAGCGACCTGTCCTTTCATTTCACATCAAACGAGAGACACATCAAAGCAACAACTCACTCGGCGCTATCCGATGCATGCACCCAGCATCTCATTTCATCAGTCACTATGTTTACCTCTCAGTCCGAGACCGACGGCTCGCGCCTTTTCTAATAATCAAACTGACCCCTACTTCCCTCGCTCTCCACTCTCCCACCGTTCTTCCTCCTCACCTGTTTCGTCCCTGCTGCGTCTCTCCCGGTGCTCCCGACCGTTCCGCTCGTCCCGGTCTTCTCGGTCGCGGCGCCGCGACGACTGCCGACACCGACGGACGCCCGTCGGACCCGACGTTCCCCGGAACATCGCCGGCCCGACGCTGCGCCCGCGCCGAGCGGTTCCGGACGGCGGCGGCGACCCGGCCGGCAGCGGCGCAGCGCACTTTAATTGCGGAGATACAGGGCATGATTAGATGAGGGATGATACGCGCCCCGGTGGAGAGGGGAGGGGAGGGAGGGGGCTGCTCTGCTGAGCTGAGACGTGATTTTCTGACACAGAGCCGGTCAATGAACCACCGAAGCTCGAGGACGGGATTTGGACGTCAGATGTCAGACGCCGGATTTCAGTGCGGGAGGCTGGATGGGTGAGTACAGGAGGGAACTCCACTCGTGATGAAAATATCTGCATTTCGCAGCTACTGTATGCAAGAATATAGCTATGCGTGGATTGATGCAGATTGTGAAACAAGTGTCTGGTATTGGATTACGGTTATTTAAACCCGGAGCACAAGTGCAACTGACTGATGATGCAAGATCATTTTCAAGAAAGACAAAATATTAGATATTTGAATAACAGATGGCAGACATGGGGTAAATGCGGTGAAATTCCAACCCTTCAGTAAAATGTAGCAACATGGCCTTGATAGCAACAGTTCAGCCCGATTGCTGGTAGTGGATGTTACATTCTTGACCTATGGATGTTGACATTTGCAAACTATAACATGACATTTCACGCCTTCCGTATTCAATGTAAAGTCACCTGTTTGTGTTGAACTCTCGACGGCTGACACTCACTTTTCTACCCTCATTTCCCACGCAGGGTGTGTGTATTATAGATGTCCATATATTTACCTTGGTGTCGTGCCGCGCCGATGTGTCCGGGCGCGGTGCGTGCTGCCGCCGGCCGGGTCCATTACGGGCTCCCGGGACAGGTGTGTGGGGTCTTATCGTAATACCGGCTCCCACCTGCAGCAGGGACCGCCGGCGACGACCACAGACGGGAGACGGGCCGTGCTTGATGTCCCAGTGCGGACAGAGTGTGGGTGTTTTGGAGCTATTGCGCTGTCGCCGTTACATGTGGAAATCTATATACCTACGCCTCGTGTTATTTATACGTACTTTACATTTTAATTATAAGAGCAAATAGACATGTTAACTGGTCAACAATTCTTTAGGAAAAAATGACATATAACTCTGCCCACGTAATTTGAGCAGTTCCTGCATTTTCTAGTAATTATTTACATGCATGTATTTGGTTGTTACTTGGAATAGGATAAAAAATATGCAATATCGCAGAAAGCACGCAAGGAATTGACTATTCAAAGAAAAAAAAAACGTTTCGCCTGCGTAATGCAGAATGAATACTGACAACTTGAAAAACAAGACAAATAACATTTTTGGTGACGTCGAGCATAATTAAGCGTATGATCTTCCATTCTTCAGCATTAGGCAAAACTATATAGTACCTACTCAGAAAAAAATGAGTTCTCAGATCAAAGGTAAGAGTTAGTAATTTAGACTATAAGATGTAAAACACTTGTGAAATGGTTGCGAGTCACGTAAATCTCTTCAGCTCACATCAAAACATTTTTAGAATTTGCAAGTATCGAAAATTGTTAAAGCAGAATAAAAGGCTACGTAACATAACCTCATAAGCAATTTCACCGTTTTAATATCAAGAAGAGGCTTCACAGTGTAGGTACACCCACTGAAAGCAATTATTAGGGCCAAAGTACCCGGGTTTTCGACTTAAATGTCACCCTGTTTCAGAATGTACGCACATGAATAACATTCCGAACCGTGCGGGCGTATGCTAGGCCTTTTACTGCCAATTTCCGCTTGCAACGGGGTGAACTGTCCACAGTTATCGCCCAGATATAAGGAAGGTCCGATCAGGCTGTAATATTGGTGAAACGCTACCGTTTTAAAACACGGGGATAGCGAGGGCAGTTTAGTTTCATATCAGCATTGGTGTTGGATGGAGGAAATTCTATCTGTTTCTCATTTAGACGGCCAGGGTCAGCGGCAAGGATGAGATTGGCTTCGGATAGGTAATTACTCGTAAAGGAAATAGCGCGAGATAAATTAAATGGATAGCCGCGGCTGAGGAATGCGATATATTTCAGGTGAAACTGAACATAATGCTTCTTTTACATCAGAAAGAGCTGCCTAAATGATTTAAGCAAATTGGTCATGCTCATAACTGAGGACAGATTATCATAGTTTAGCATGCAAAAATAATGCCTTTTACTGGCGGGGAATCACGAATCTCCCAGCGAAGGGCAACTACATATAATAATGCACATCAAATTTCAGATGGAATTTACCATTTTATTCCCAGCATTGAATCTATCAAATCTTCCAGGACAGAGCAACCATCTGAGACCTCATTTCTGTCCGGATGCCAAATCCGCTGCCTATGCTGCAGTCGCTGCAGTCCCAAGGCACCAGCCGAGAAAAGCGGCGAGGGCGTCAACAGTTCCGCGGTCCGCTGGTGCGAACAACCACTCCCCGCTCCCAGCTACGCAAAGCACCCCTTCAGTGAGAATTATCTCACCTCCTCCCTCAGGCAGTAAATGCACGTCAGATATCCTATTGGCCTCGATGATCGATTGGTCCAATCATGGGGGATCTTGATTGGTGGGCATTTTCTTGTGGTGCTTCGGAAATGGTTGGAAGTCGTCCGATAATCGCTGGAGTCGTGCTGATTGAGTGAGATAACTTTTTGTACGTGCATCGACAAGCGACCAAGACAGACACTGCGCTGGTAAAAGGTTTGTTGCTTTTTTAACTTGACGGCCGCGTTGTTGCTAGTTGTTGTAGTGTTCAGTTTTGCACCTATATAGAATACTACGGATATGACACAATGCGAGGGCCACTACAGCGTCAAACGATTGTCTCTCAGAGAAACTGTGCTCCAGCATAATTTAACAGTCATCCATCAAAAGGTGCGAATACCATAGGTACACATATTTCACGGCAATCTGGCTTTCAATGCTCTCCTTTATCGTTTTTGATCATATTTCACTCGACTGACCTTCAAAACTCAATCATTTCTCGTCGAGTGACGGCGGCAGTCGGGTGTGCCACGACGAGCGAGCGTCGGCTCTGCTCGGCTTCCGCGCGGCCTTCGGACAATTTGTCTGCGGAGCCGACCTCGGCTGCACGATGGTTCGGAGAGTATGCCGTTAAAAAGATAGCAAATTAGATGGTGTGTAACGGAGAGAAAGAAGAGGTGCGAAAGCTCAGTTTGGCAAGATAAGTTCAATCTTTGCAAGGCTGGCTATTAGTGGAGGAATCGGAAGATGAATGTGTCTGACTTTGTCATTAATTATCTGACTTTGTTTATTGATCGGGATTTCCTGTAGACTATATGCAAAAAAAAATCAAGTGGTTCCTGATGTCCCACAATGATTTATATCATCCCTGCTTCTCTACGCTTCTCGCTATTCCTCGATTCCCGCAGCTAGTCACTGCCCCGCCGCCACATCAGTGACCCGGCGTCTCTGCAAATCTCTGCTATCCTCCCTCCCTCCGCCTTCCTCTCCGGTCGCTGCGGGCCCGCCCGATGGCTGTCTCTCATGCAAAGTGTTGGTGATTGCCGGGCGGCGCCGGAGGAGGGCCGCTGCTGAATACTGTATGTCACCGTGGCGGGCCGCCGGGCCGGCCGGCCGACCGTCCCCGCCCGACGGTCGCCTTACAATGGTCGTCATCCATCAGCGGCCGGCCGCGGGGGATGAGAGGACAGGACACCGGTCAGCGCACATACCACCGGCACCGCGGTCAGACGTGATCTAAAAAACAACTACTCAACAAAAAAAAAACGAGGTTGGAGGACGATATGCATTGTGCTGCTCAATAGCTCCGAAATTAACATAGCATTGGGACACGAAGCTATCAAATGTAGATAACTATACCTATACGGTTTAGGCCTATACTCGTACCTAAACCTGTACCAATATTACTCAATAATATCATCTAATACATCGTCTTTGGGTACACACAATGAATATAAATACGGGATGGTTTGCTGCACATATTCACTCGCTCATCCAGATACATTAGTTTTTACTGCCGTCTCAATTCCTTGTCGCAGTAGCGTATCATCTGCTCGCCCCCTGGGGCAGTCAGCACTCTCAGACTAAGCCTCCCTCGCATCTCGCCTAATGCTCCGTCGTCCAGCAGGCCGTCCGTGCCACCGGTATTGTATCGAGCACACTGGCAAAGCATCGACTTCTGATCCGCGGCCGCCGGCAAAGTCCCCGGCGCCGCTTTAAGCCCCACATCGATGCCTCTTATCTGGCAGGTGGAGCGAGCTCCAGGCTGGACCGGTCGATTTGATTGATGCAGTCCTCCGCTTATGAGAAAAGCACGCGTCTCAGAACTGCGACAAAAACGCTCCTCAGTTTTGTATCAATTTAGGAGCAATCTCTAATCATTATTGCTGCACGAAAGGTCAACAGGGTCAGAGCACTTCTAAAAATTAAAAAGTCTCTATCGGTACTTCTGTAAACGTAGGTACATACCTGAATAGCTATCGTGTAAAAGGAATGCTGTAGCGAAATTCCGTGCTGTTATTAAACAGCATACATAATTTTTCAACTGGCCTTACAGTGAGATCAAACGAAGAGCATACAAAGCCTTTCTTTTGAACACAGTGCAACATATTACATATTTCTTTGAAACTATTTTCAAACACATCATTTCACATTTCAAAGGCCATTTGTTAGGCTTTTCTGTATTTACCGAACATGCAATTGATATTCGATTCAAAAACTTCAAATCCTGTCCTTCATATTCACTGTCATTTCGTTGCTCGTGATCCTTTCTGACATGACCTTGGAGAAATTTATCCGAGACACCGCGGACTTCAGTCAACAGTTCTGTCATCTGTCTGCTTGGTATTATTGCAGCATGGGCGTCATTGCGCCGCTGTATCCAGTGCCAGTGCGGCGGCACCTCGCGCCGAGAGCCGCCATGTCAAACGACCTGGCGAACTTTATCACACATGCCCGCAACACATACCAAACTTCCTGTCGCTGAAAAATCCCGCCACATTTCGCTGAAAAATCCCGCTGCATTCCCGGAACTTC